ACCCGCGCGACGCACTGCTCGCAGGTGCGCCTGCGATGTCCATGGAAGGAGCTCCCCCGAACCTCCGAGGGCCTAACCTGTTCATCGCGCGGGCCTGAAGCTCTCGACCCCAGAAGCTTTCCTCTTGCCCACGATGAGTTGGTGGTCCTCGGACTCGAAATCGGCTTCCGGAATCTGCCCGATTATAAAACCGACGTCCCACTGGCCGAGCTCGTCGCCCTCGGAAAGACGCCGGAAGCGCTGTTTTCTCGACTCGCTCGCGACAAGACCCGCGGCGCACCGCGTCGACTCCTGGCTGGTGCGCGGGCCGCTCCAGTACTGTAGCAGCAAGTCCGTCTCGGCGCTGGGTGAGCTTCTTCGAGCTCCTCTGGCCGGAAAGCCCGAGCCAGCCCAGGGCCGCTCGCGCTCCAAGGTCGCCCTGCCGCGCCATCGGGGGCCACGGGGGCCGCCAGTAGGCGTCAAAAAAATACTTCGACGAGCAGAAGCCCTGAAACTCCGCGCGGGCTTCCTTCCAGAGGACGTCGCGCGCGCCGAGTTGGGCTCCGATGGGCTGTCCCACGAGCAGAGGCCGCAGAAGAGAAGGGGGTCGGTCGCGACCTCCGCGTCCCAGTCCTTGGCGTTGTGCCGAGTGAATCGCCCCGTCGCTGCCCGCGGGGCCGCTGGAGCCACTCGTCCGCGATGCAAGTGCGGAGCTGGCGCCCGTCCAGCTGGGCGCCGAGCGCCGCGGAGGCGACGTCCGTCAGGCCGCTCCTGTGCAAGGGCAATTGGCGGGCAGCACTAGGCTCGCCCAACCAGCTCGCGGCCGCCTCCGCGAGGCCGCGGATGACAAAACCACCTCCATATTGTCGACGTACGCACATGTTGTGTCGCACTGTGGGCGCACTTGCACCTGGCTCCGACGCGAGGGGAAGGCCGTGACCAGACTGGGCCCAGCTGGCGCACTAAGGCTGGCCCAGCGATCCGCGTTCGCTTGCTGGGCGAAGTGGAGCGACGACGCGAGGCGCGTGGGCAGCGCGTGTCAGTGCGGGTAACCCACCTGGCCCTGGCCCTCAACCTCACTCGCGCCGACTCGCCGAAGGTGCAGCTCGTTCTTGATTCTCAGCCGATGGAATCAGTTGTTTTTCGCATCCTCCATGCGGAAGTACACCTGGTGCTGCTGCAGCGCGGTGCCCGCGTCGTAAGTCAAGGGCGACCCGTCTGATGGGGGCGTCCGCCTTCAGAGCCGGGGCGCTGGGCCACAATGCTCGTGGTGTTTCTGCCTGAGGGTCGAATCGAAGTGCAGCTCCATGTCGTCGTTCTCTGGTGGCAGATCGCGACCCGTGCGCTCATGCCGCCCGCCTATCTCAATAGTGACCTTGTCCAAGACCACTTCCTCAACACGCGGGTAAATCCGCTTTCCCGCCCCGGCGACGACTCGAACCCAAACCTCCACTTAATTACAGAGACCATCCCGTTGTCCTCGTTGACTTTTTGAACATCCTGGCCGCCCCACTGGGCCCAATCACTCTTGCCGCAGTTCCTGCGGACTGGCCCTTAGACTGGCGGAAGCGGTAGAAAGCCTCGCTTGGAGCGCGAGAAGGAAGACGCCCTGCCTGCAGGCCCTCGGATATCGAAGCATCGGCTCGGAGGTCTGGCTGGGCCTCCAGGCCAGTGGCGTGTCATTCGCCTGTCGGGGCGACGCCTTAAACCAGGCCTGCAGCGCGACTGCCTCCGCCGCGGCCACGGCCCTTGCCCGCGGCGTTCGCTTTTTGCTTCAGGCGCCTCTGGCCGCGGCTTTATTGGGGCAGCGGGGGGGGGGGGGGCGGCGTGTCCCAGTATTTGGTGCAGCCCTCAGGGAATGCCATGGACCTGAAGCAAAAATAACAAACATCGAACAGCGCAATTCCGCAACAAGGGGCGCCGCGCAACCCCGCACCTTGTAGCCCTCCTTGACCCGTCGGCGACGAGACTGCGGCGTTCCTCCAGCGAAGACACGCTTGGGTAGCAGCGAGCGCTCTCCCGTTTTGGTTTCGGAAAGTTGCCTTGTTCCTCGCCACCGCGCCGAGAGCTAGAATGGGCTGCAACCTATCCGAATTCCAAATGGCGTAGCGAATGGGTGGCTGCGCTATAAGGCAGACGAATGCAGAAGGGTTGCCACAGGCGTCCACGGCCCTGGCCAGCTGGCGCGCGAAAGTCTCGATGACCCTCGCCCCGTCCAAGTGCAGCACCTTGAGCCGCTGGCGAAGATCTTCTCCGCGGCGCCTCGTAAGCTTGTGAAGGCGATGCGCTTCAGGAGGGCCCTCCGCTGGGGCATCGGCGACGCGCTCCTGCACTGCCTCCCGGCAGGCCACGCGCAATCGCCTGTGGCGCCCTTGCGGGGTCCACTCCTCCTGCTCCTCCTCCTGCTCCTCCTCCTTGTCAGCGAGGCTGGTCGGTTGCCCCTCGGGTCGGCGTGCACCGGGCGCTTTTCTGACAGGCGCGCCAGAGGGCCAGCAAGGCGGCCCTCCGCAGCTGCTGGCAGGGCCTGCGCCGCATTGCCCGCTGGCCTGCCTCGGCTGCTGCTCTGCCACTCGGCGGCCCGTGCCGTCGCTTGACTTGGCCAGCGCGCAGGGCAGCCAGTCGCCGCCGGGGGGCGTGCCCGACCCTGGGTTGTGGGTCGGCCACGCGTGATCCCCTGGCCGGTGCATAGCCCATCCTCCTCCTCCTCCTCCTCCTCCTCCTCCTCCTCCTCCTCCTCCTACTTTGCTTCCTCCTCTTCCTCCTCCTCCTCCTCCTCCTCCTCCTGCTCCTCCCCCTCCTCCGCCTCCCCGTCCTCCTCCTCCTCCTCCTCCTCCACCTCGTCCTCCTCCTACTTTGCTTTCTCCTCTTCCTCCTCCTCCTCCTCCTCCTCCTCCTCCCCCTCCTCCGCCTCCCCGTCCGCCTCCTCCTCCTCCTCCTCCACCTCGTCCTTCTCCTCCTCCTCCTCCTCCTCCTCCTCCTCCTCCTCCTCCTCTCGGGGCTTGGGGTCCTGCCCGCCCAGGCGGCAGCCAGGTGCAGCCGGCGTCCCGTCGCCGCCGTCTCGGGTCGGCCGACGACGGCTGCCCATTATGGACACAGCCATCCCCCGCTTCCGGAACTGAAGGCGGTCCTCAGCAGTCAGAGTGCCCGCGGCATCAACCCAGTGCAGCAGGCGCCCAACGTGCAAGTCCGCCTCCTCCGGCTCCGCCACGGGTGGGCCCGGGCTGAAGGGCGTCCGCCACGGCCTCCTGACGAAGGGCATCCTGGAAACGGGGGCGTCGTTTCAAGGCCGAGCTCGCAGGCCCCAAGCCTCTTGCGGGGCGAGGGGCGCTGCCGTCCAAGTCCTCAGGTGTCGACGTCCAAGGGCTGGATCATCCAGAAGGTACCTTCGGGATGGTGGATGAGGACCAGATCGGGGTCGACGTCGCCGTCCCCGTAGCGCACGATGACCTTTTGGCGCTGGGCTCTCGCCCAACCTCCGAGCTTTTGGGGGGCAGCCCTGCGAACGCTATCCTGGTGGTGGATGGCCCAACCGACGATTCAGAGCTGGAGCCGAAGCGGGGCGAGGCAGTAACGTGCGACCACGGTGGGGACGGCCCTTCGCAGGAACAGCGGGTGGGCCCAGAGTCTGGCCGGCATGCGCTGCAGAAGTGGCCCGCGCGGCCCAGGACCTCTCTCTGGGAGGGCCCGCGCCGAGCCCGAACCCGAGCCCGCCGGACAGAGGTGCTGGAGACGTGATTGAAATTCCGACACACTCTGAGCAGCAATTATATAATCCGGGAGAAGGTGGTAAATGCGAACAGCACCAATTGCGGAATGGAGAAAGTCTGGCGCAGTGAAAGGCGGCTCTACCAGATGACGTCTGTGTCTCCTGGGGGCCCTGGCTGGGGAGCACACGCCCTCGAACTCCTCGGCTGGGCGTGCGTCGGGTTCGCGCTGCGGGTCCACCCCGAGGCGCGGGCGGCGGGGGGGCGCAGCGCGCGCCGACTCCCGGGGCAGGCGGCCGCAGCCAGCTTCCGGGGCCGCAGGTGGGCACCGCGCGGCGTCTCGGGCGCGCCCGCGCCAGGGGAGGGGGGGCGGGGGCTCTCCGAGAGGCGGGGCCGAGCCGCCCCGGAGGCCGCCCCGAGCCCGGGCCCCTGGGGCGCGCCGTCTCTGGCGTCAGCACCTCGCATTCACGCTGCGCGTCGCAGTGATCTGGTCGGCGGCGGGGCAGGCGGGCGTCGAGGCGCCGAGTGTGGCATCGCGTGGGCCCGCCTCGAAGCCTTCATGCTCGAGCCCGTGCAACGGGACGAGGAGTAAGGGGGGGGGGTGGCAGGCCACGGGAAGGATACTCAGGGGAGAGAGGACGATGATAGTAGTGATGATTCGATGATGGTGGTGGTGGTGGCGCTGATGGTGGTGCTGCTGCTGCTGATGATGGTAATGATGAGATGATGGTGGTGATGGTGCTGATGGTGGTGCTGATGATGGTGATGATGATGGTGGTGGATGCTGTTGTTGCCAATGTTGTTGTTGCTACTGCTGCTGCTGTTACTGTTGCTGTTGCTGTTGTGTTGTGTTGTGTTGTGTTGTTGTTGCTGTTGTTGCTGTCGTTGTTGTTGCTGTCGTTGCTGCTGTTGCTGTTGCTGTTGCTGTTGCTGTTGCTGTTGTTGTTGTTGTTGTTGTTGTTGTTGTTGTTGTTGAAGAAGAAGATGATGGTGGTGATGGTGGTGGTGATGGTTATGGTGGTGATGATGATGCTGAGGCTGATGATGATGATGCTGATGCTGCTGCTGCTGATGATGATGCTGAGGCTGATGATGATGATGATGATGATGATGATGATGATGATGATGATGATCGCGCGTACCTTCGGGCAGCTTCGTGCGCATTGATCGGCAACGGCAGGGACCAGCCTCACAGCAGGACGTCGAGCCTTTGGAATCGCAGTCGTTGAACATGAAGACGCCACAAGTGGCGGCGAGGAGGTGGCGTAAGAAGGGAGGTCGATGATGCTAATGATGATGGAAATAACGACAATGATGAGGACGAAGAGGGGGAGGAGAAAGAGGCGGAGAAGGAGGAGGCGGAGAAGAAGGAGGACGTGGGCTCAGCCCTTGCCTCATTCCAGTGCTCTCACCGAGTGCTCCCATTGCCCTGGTTCGTCACGTACACCTGGGCATTGGCAAGTGCCGCGGCCCGTGCCGAGCAACATCGCGCCCCTCATCCTCTTCCTTACCCTCCTCGCTCTCCGCTAATTCACGGTCCTCCTCGTGTTCGTCCTTGTCGTCACGTCCCCTCCTCCTGCCGCTTCACTCCTCCGTCTCCACCTCCTCTACCTGCTCCTCCTCCTCCGTCTTTTGACACTGGCCAGGCTCGAAGCACCGAGGTTCGCAATTTGCTGCCTCGTCCTCGTCCTCGTCCTCCTCCTCCTCCTTGACTTCATCCTGCTGGTGCTCCGCCTCATTTTCCTGCCGTTGCTGGGCCTCGTGGTTCTCGCCCTCCCTGGCTGGGTTCGCCCCCCTCCCGTGGGGCCCCGAAATCCCACCAGCCCTCTGGGCGACAGGTGGCCTAAGGCGGGCCTCGTTCCCCTTCCACAGCCCCTCTCCCCATTCGGGGGGCTTTCCCCTCCCCTCACTGTTTTTTTTGAAGGGTCTCGAGGTGTCGCAGTCCTGTTTCGGCCAGAGGGAGGGCGAATTTTTGACACCCCTCAAGGGGATCGTGGCCCCCGAGGGGGGGGCAGTCATCGAGTCCCCCCCGTCTTTTGACCGACCGCCTCTAAGATTGTCCCAGTAGGCCCCCCCAAGGCTCCCAAGAGGCCCCCAAGAGGGCCCAAAGAGCGCCCCAAGAGGCCCCAAGAGGCCCTCCAAAGCTCCCAAGAGGCTCCTAAGAAGGCCCGAAGAGCGCCCCAAGAGGCCCCAAGAGGGCTCCAAGAGGCCCCCGAAAGGCCTACAAAAATTCTCCAGAGTGGACCCCAAGCGGCCTCAGAAAGCCCACGATGACCTCCAAGATGGCTCAATCTAGTCCAGGTTGCCTCAAGATGCCTCCCACGATGCCCCAAGAAGCCCCCAAGCCGCCCCAAGACGGCTCGAGATGGCCACGGAGCCTCCCCAGGAGGCCTCCTCCTCCTCCTCCTCCTCCTCGTTCTCATCCTCCCGCTCGTCCTCTTCTTCTTCTTCCTCCTCCTCCTCCTCCTCCTCATTCTCCTCCTCCTCCTCCTCCTCCTCCTCCTCCTCCTCCTCCTCCTCCTCCCCTAGCCGTTCTGGCACAAGTTTTGTGCTTGTTGACGCCAACTTCAGAGCGGCACTGCGTCAACGGGCCGTTGGATCGGCGTATTTTTCTCCCAGTGGTAAGTAGGTGTATGGCACCCAAGCCTCCTTCGCGCCATGGCGATGGCAAAAGACAAGGGTGTGGCAAGGGCAAGGGTCGTGAGGACCGAGCCCCAGCCAAGCCCCCCTGGCATGGTGACGGCGGAGGACGTTCAAATTTTTACTGGTGGAATGGCTCGGCTGGAGATGGCAGCGGAGCAACAGAGGGGTACTCCAAGGTCAAGTGCAGCCAATGCGGGTGCGCAAAGAAACCGGAGTTCTCGAGGTACTGCAAGCACTGTGGTTATCCTCTTGCTGCTGTTCCTCCTGCTGGCGCTGGGCACTCTCCGAGCGGTGTGTTGGCTCATCCGCCCCCAGGCGTCTTCAGCCTGCCGTGGAATCCACAGATGTTCGCTCTTCGTGCATTTCAACCTGAACAAGCATTAGCTGTTCAGCGTGGAGGTGGGCCGCAGCCTGGAGGTGGACCCCAGCGGCCGCCGCCCCATCCCTTCCCGTCGGAGCCCAAAGCCAGCTCACGTCCGTGGGGGCCAAGCAGCTGGCCGAGCTGGCGCGAAAGGGAGGTGACTTGGCCACCGCCTCCATGTACGAGTCGGAGTTCAAGAGGCTCCACATCCAAGAGGCCCCGAAGCGGCCGATGCCGCTCCACCAGCGCGTGCAGCAACAGTGCGCGACGGTCTCTGGCATGGCGAGGCAGCTGGACAAGGAAGTGGACAAGCTCTCGGCGTGGAGGGATGATATCCTTCAGCTGGGGTCCTCCGTCCGAACGATGCGGGACGAGCTGGGGCAGGCTGACAAGGAGTACAGGTCTTTGGTCACTGAGCTGTAGCAGCATGCCTCGGTGGCCCGCACTGTGCCCCCCAGTGGGCCTGCCGAGCTCAATGTGGAGGACCTCTGCGACGAGGCGTTCGACTTGGGCTCGATCATCACCATCGATGAGGCAAGCTTCTTCGAGGAAGACGGCCACTTGGGTCAAGAGGGCCGCGACGAGATCTCCAAGAGGTAGGAGACGCTCAGCGCAAGTGGCTCCAAGCTTGCCGAGGAGCTGCTCGGGCCGCTGGTGCAGGCGGCGAAGGAGGCACGGGAAGCGCATCGCGATCACCTCTGATGATGGAGAGCCACGGTCTGAGGCCCAGCCATCAAGTGAGACTGCCCCTGGTGCTGGCGGTCCCACGACTGCTGCCGCCGAGCGGGCAGCTGCAAGCGGTGGAGCCAGCCTGCCACCCGGCGATGTGCGAGCCAAGGCAGAGAAGGCCCTTCACTCCCTTCCCCCCGTTCCTCTCGGAGCAAGGGGAGGTGCAGCATGGCCTGGCCGCGCATTCGTCGATCCACGTGCACGCCATTGCCAGCGTTCATGCCATGAACACCACTTACGGGACTTTTTCTGTTTCTCGGCCTCTTGCAGGCCAGTCTTGCAGGCAGGGCCTCCTGGGAACGCATGTGAGCCCAGGGGGCCCCGCGTGGCAGTCGCCACTTGGCGCTTCGGACGCGCTCGGAGACCGTGGTCTCAGAACGCAGCCCCCTCACTTGAAGGGGCCCTGTGACGCACAAATAAATACACACATAAAATATGCCCCATATTTTCCCATACCTGCTGGGTGTCTGTCTTCCCCCCCACTGCCCACATTTTCCAATATTTTCCTGGGAGACGACGATTAATTGTGTCTGTGTTTTTTTTTTCCCCGTCCTGATCACTGGGCTGCTCGGTGCCCCGAGCTGCCGGGGAGTGGAACTGGAAGCTCCCCTTCAGGCGCGGCCTCGAGGCGCCCGCCACCTCGACTTTTTGGCGCAGAGGAGGAGGAGGAGGAGGAGGAGGAGGAGGAGGAGGAGGAGGAGCAGGAGGAGAAGGAGGAGGGAGGAGGAGGAGGAGGAGGAGGAGGAGGAGGGGGAGGGGGAGGAGGAGGAGGAGGAGGAGGAGGAGGAGGAGGAGGAGGAGGAGGAGGAGGAGGAGGAGGAGGAGGAGGAGGAGGAGGAGGAGGAGGAGGAGGAGGAGGAGGAGGAGGAGGAGGAGGAGGAGGAGGAGGAGGAGGAGGAGGAGGAGGAGGAGGAGGAGCTGTTGGGCGCGCCCTCGCCAGGCCTCCTGCTGTCTTGTATCAGGGCTGCCCGCATGCCTCCTTTCACCTGCAAACCTACGCCTTCCCTGGGATCGTCCGTGCTCCCTGGAGCTTTTTGGGTCTGGAGGTCCCGGGGCCATTGGTCAGGCCACCCATGGCCAAAGGGAGGCTCGGTCCAGGGTCTCGGAGTTTTCCCCATGCCACTCCCCCCTGCCCTGCCCTGGAGATTCTCAAGTGGAACTCGATGTGCAGACTGCCAATGTCACGTCTTGGCATTCGGACTCTGGCGGAGGTCTCAGAGCTTGGTTGCCAAAATGTGGTGATCACATTCTGCTCATCCAAGAGCATCATTTGCTCGAGCCTGATCTGGAGGAGGCGGTTGGACGGGCACATCGCCACGGATGGAAAGCTGTACTTGGGCAAGCTGCTCCTGGGGTCGGGCACGGCACGTCGTCGGGAGTTGGTATCATGGTGAGGAACTCTCTTGGGCTGCACACGCCTCCTGTGGGCCGCACTATTGATGGGCACCGTTCAGTAGGAGCTATCGTGCACGCACCAGGGGGGAGGCCCTATATCTGTCTGCAACACCTACATGCGCACGTGCGAAGGGCTTTCCGAGGCCAACGTGGACTTCCTGGCTTTAGTAGGCACGGTTGCTGAGCAGCTTTCCTTGCCCACCACCATCGGGGCCGACTTTAACATGAGCCCCGAAGTGCTCGCCACCTCTGGCATTGTCAACCAACCGTCTGCGCGCGCAGTTGGTCGTCCCTCAAGGCGTCGTCGGCGCGCGCGGCACCAGTGTGCTCGACTATTTCATCGTGTCCTCAGGGCTCGCCAAGGGCATATCGCAGTTCGAAGCCATGCACGCGTCGAACATCGTCGCACACTTACCCATGCGGATGCGCTTCCATGCAGGCATTGGGCGTCTGCGCGGCCTCGTTCTTCGCGCGCCGCCGCTGCCGACTCCCATCGGACCAGTTCCCCCCCGCCGGTTTGGTCGGCTGTGCAAGCTGAAACCGATCGTGCCCTCGATGCTTGTCACAGTGCCGGCGCGCGCGCGGTGCAATGCATGCTCGACTCGCTCTCCACAAGCATTGGGCCGACCTGGCCGAGAAAAGGCCGGCAGGAGCCAGACAAACTACACTTCCGTATTGGGGGGGGGGGGCGGGGGAACATGTCTCAACAAAGATGGGTCAACATTCTGGATCAGGATCGACAGGCCCCCCACCGTCAACCCTGGCAGATTTCCATCAAATGGTTAGTTGGGAAATTTAGGCTCCTTCTCTAGCTTGGCGCGGTCTGCTTAGTATCCGCTCAGGCGCTCGAGGTCCGAAGTCTGCTCCTGTCGCCGCATGCCTTCCTGCGGCAAGGGCTGGACGTCCAAGCGGATCAATTCTTGCGAGTTCAGCAGTTTTTAGGCCAGCACGATTTGCTCGATTTGAGTGTCGGTGAAACCCAGCTCTCTGACTCAGATGAGTACCTGGAGACCTACGCCGTTAAAGCAAAGGCGCATGCGGTATCTGAGTGGAGGGAATGGGCTTCTCCAACCTATTGTTCAAGGCGCTCGATGAGCGCATCGGCATGTGCGAGGTAGTCAGCCGTGGACCTCCACCGCCACCCTGAGCAGGGATGGAGCGGTTATCTCTGACCCCCTCGCGTTGTTGTCCGCTGATGCTCATCAGTTCAATACTAGTTATGTGGGGCCACCGCCGCCCCTCCTCCCCCTGGGCCTCCCTTTCAATATGTTGCACCCCTCCCTCGGCCCACGGCCGATGACACGAGAGCCGCGTCCCGCAGGTATTCTGCCCGTTCCGCCACTGCCGTTGATGGGCTTCACATGGAACATCTTGCCTCGCTCTCTGACGGTGCGCTCGGGGTCTTCGGGGCCTTTTGCTCTATCATGGAGGCTTCGGGGCTTCTTCCTGGACGAATCTCCCTGGTGGTCATTTCCCTGCTCGACGGACCGTCTGGAAGGTTTCGGCCCATTGGGCTGTTTTGCAGCTCTTGCCGCCTCTGGGGGCGGTGCCGCCGAAAATATGCGGTCAACTGGGAAAGCGCTTTCCGAAGAAATTACTTTGCGAGGCCTCAATTTTCCCTGGCTTGACGTCGTCTGGCGCCGGACCATCCGCGCTGAAGGAGGCGTGTCCAAGGGGGGGTCCAGTTGCACCTTATTATGGGATCTCTACAAGTGTTTCGAACTTGTCAAGTGATCTTTGCTCCTTCAGCGATGCCACGCCAACCAGTTTTCAATCCAGATCGCTAGGCTCGCCGTCCATGGCTATAGGCATGGCAGGTTCATCTCGCTGTCGGGCACCGTGGTCAGCGCTTTTTACGTCAGCATCGGTGTCGTCGCTGGCTGTGGCTTCGCGACCACCATAGTTCGTGCCAAGACGATCCCAGCCCTCGATTCCTTGCAGCTCCAAATGTATTGCGCTAGATTTCTACATCGACGACTACGGTCTCAGCTGCGCTGGAACGGGCAAACATATTGTCGCCCATCTCCCTGAGGCCGCTGCGAACCTCAGGGCTGCGATCGAGGAGGATCTGGGAGGTGCTATTTTGGCGGATAAAGCTTCCCTCGTTGCCTCGTCGGACGCGCTCGCTACTCATGTCAGGGACCGATTGGGAGGCCTTGCTGGGCCTGCGGCGCAGTCCGCTGTTAACTTTGGTATCGATTTTCCACCCGGCTCCTCGCGTCGGCTTCCAAGCCGAGGCAGAAAGTTTCCGGACCGAGAACGCGTCTTCGACGAGAAACTCAAGCGGCTCAAGCGAGCCAGGCGCCCCCTGGGCCGACGCGCTGCGAACGTTTCCCCTGCTGGCCCTTTATCCGATCTTGCGTTCGGAGCGGAGGTTCATGGCGCCTCCTACTTCGAATGGGTGAAGCTTCAAACTGCAGCAGCCAGTGCCACGCAGCCGTCAGCCAAGATGAGGTCGAAGACCTCGCTTTTCATCTTGTCCCAGGACCCTACCTGGTAGCCGGCCGTGGCGCCCATCGTGCGCTGCGCCAAGGAGACATGGGCCAATCGGACGAAGCTGTTTCCTTCTGTTCCCTTATGGCCCGAGCAGCGGCAAGCTTGGTCCTTAGTTTGTGGGAACCCTGGTCCGAAAACCTGGAGAAGGGTGAAAAAGCCTCTGGGGGCCATGAAGCTGGCCTTAGGTCGGAAATCCTGGTCTGCCCAACTGTTGTACTCTCCTGGATGATTTGGCACTGAAGTTTCTCTTGCCGTCGCCTCCCCTGCCCTTCTTAAGAAGCTTTGTAATGCCGCGGTTCAGAGGACCCACGAGCGTGCCAGCGGAGCTGCCCTGCTTCCTCACACTCTAGGTGCACGTGTCTGCCATGATGTCGTGGCTGCTACGTTGCGACCCATGCGAGGCACCCGTCTTCAGCGTGGCTGTGCGAAGGCAGTTGCATGCACTGCCACCTGGACCAGAACCAGAGCAGCCGATGCAGGATATTGAGGTCGACACCCTGTGCGACCGATGCCAGGAGCGGTCAAACACCATTCTTCACTGTCTCTGGTTCTGCCCCGCCTGTCAAGATAGACGCGATGAGGTGTTTGACAGTTTCAAGCAACATTTCGACCTGCTGCCCTCGCCAGACCTGTCCCCTGACACGAATGAGGACGATTTCTTGTTGTATACTCGTGGGTTATTTCGGCATCTGATGTGTATCTGCTCCCTGCCCGTGATGATGTCGAAAACGCCGGCTTGGAAATCAGGCGGGCCCACGACCCAGAGTGCAGATCCCTCGATGTATCAGGCCACGTATTTGTGGACGGGTCATGTGCTATGCATACTATAAAAGGTCTCTCCAGGGCCGGGTGGGGAAACGTAGTTGTAGATAACGAAGGCAGCGAAATAAGTCGTATTAGTTGTCCTCTCTGGGCCCCCAAACCTCCAAACTGCCCAAGGGGGAATTCGGGGCCTATCCTGTTGCCGCTATGCGGGCCCAAGTAGGCAGCTCCATCTACTCTGATTGTAAGAATGTCGTGGTGTAGGCCAATGAACCCCTGTTGCGCTCCCTGTCGTATATATAAGAGGTTTTTGCTGCCAGCTTGTAGGAAGTTGGAAGTTTTTTTGTTGTTGTTGGTGTGTGTGTGTGTGTGTGTGTTTCTATTCTTGATATAGGATTATTAGCACTATTTTATTCGTATTAGTATTACTACTATTATTATTATTATTAATAATAATCTTATGATTATTGTTGTTGTTGTTGTTGTTGTTGTTGTTGTTCTTATTATTAGTATTTTTCTTAGTATTAGTATTATCTATAGATAAGGGCCCACGTCGAGGAACCTTGTGACCTCACCGATAACAGCTTTTCTAGAAACTCGGTAACAACCTTGCTGACCGTGTTGCCAATCATTCGCTCGCCAGGGACCCACAACCCGAACCCGAATATGTGGAGTGGCTCGAACGTTTTCTCAGGATTGCCAAGTGTGTTGTGTGCCTCTCTGCTGAGCTCATGCCTGAGTGACCTAGGCTCAATGTCACAGGTGTGCCTCTTGTGCCCGAGCCTCCCCGCCCCAGAGCTCCGCCCAAGCCTCACTGCTGGACTAGGGTCTCTTCTTTTTGGCAGTGCACGACATGCTTGAGAGTTGCCAGGGGTGTGCCGCGCAGAGACCACAGGGGAAGCGTCTCAGAGGTCTGGACCCGCCACTGGCTGGATCGTGCTCCAGAGGTTCCAAGCTTGACCCTGATGTGCTGGTCTGTCTGCGGCACAATTGTATTGCTTTGCCTTGTTCCGACGGTGCGGCTCCGACCATCTGTTTGTGGTGCAAAGCCGACTCATCGCATGATGAGCCTCGTAACCCTTTGAGGCGGTGCGACGGGGCCCCTCAGAGTTCAGGCGCGCGAAGTGCCTGGAAGTCTGTCAGCGAAAGGAAGCACCCCAAGCGTAGGGCTATTTCTGTTGATGCCGGTCCCTGGTTGGACGGTGACCAGGCTGAAGGTGTCGATGTCCCTGCGCCTCTCGCTGAAAGCACCGAGGAGCGAACAGCCCACTGCAAACATCCCTGGAAAACTGGACCATCAACATTCACGCCAAGACTGTCAGAAAAGCGGGAACAAGCCCGAATTCTGGCAAATTCGGCTGGTACGTTTTCCCGACGGGAAGGGGGCGCCTTCCTTGTGAGAACGAGGGCGGGGGGAAATACCCACGTCCCAAAGGACCGCCCCCAGAGAACCCCTCAGAGCGCCCAGAGTCTTCCAGAGACCTCTTCGATCCTCAATCCTCCTCCTCCTCCTCCTCCTTCTCCTCGCTCCTCGGAATGAGGTGGCGGCCCTCCCAGCTCGGGCCCTTTTTTTCTTGGGGGGGGGGGGGAGGGTCGTTCTGACCATTCTCCCGAAGCAAGACCGGCAGGACATTCCAAGAAGGCGACACCGAGAGGGGGGCCTCGGCCTCGTCATATCTCTTTTTTCCTCCGAGGCCCCGCGAGGGCGCCATGCAGTCCGGGAACTCCGCGCTGAACTTCGAGCGCTCCGTCGGGGTCAGCTCCGCCCAGAACTCCCGCACCTGGCGGCACACTCGCTGCCCCGTGCCAGCGAAAGTGTGCGCCCGCTTGGCCGCACGGTGGCCTGCGGGCTCGAGGCCTGCCTCCTGCAGCCGCATCCTCTGGTGCTCTGTCGGCGGCCCGCCCTTCTCCTCCTCCTCCTCCTCCTCCTCTTCCCTCCTCCTCCTCCTCCTCCTCCTCCTCCTCCTCCTCCTCCTCCTCCTCCCCCGTCTGCACTTACACGACAGGGTACCCATCTTCTCGCTCCTTTGATGCCGTGCTAAACCGAAGCAAGCTGTTCAGTACACGGTGTCTCTGACACAGGATGTATTCGAGTTGCCTTTTGATGTGCCATCTCTGTCAGACTCTTGCTCTGCATGTTATACAAATATGATGGGTGATGCCTAAAACAAATAACTTTTCTGCATCTGGGAAGTGGTGCTCTCGCCATGTTCCGTGATCACCAGAGAGCCTTCGTCCAGCGGAACCACGCTGTCGCCGGCCGCAGCGATGACAATCAGAAAGTTGACTGCCTTTGGAAAGTGGTGCTCTCGCTGGTGCGTGCTTCCGTCGATCTCCAATGGGGCAGTTCTCTCGGTGCAGCGCTGACCATATCCCTGCATCAGGACAAGTTGTGCTCCCCCAGTAGCGTGTGTCACATTGAATTCCAGAGCTCCGTCAACGGAACGGCGCTGTTGCCGCGGCGCTGGCCGCCACCTGCTCTTGCAATGTGCTGTGCGTCTCCCCAGGGATTGCTCTTGCATGCCATGCTTCGAGAATGATGGAGAGGACTTCGACGCACCGTAAAGGGATGGGGGGGAGGGGTCTTTTGTCAAGAACGGTGCGAACGCGCCCATCTTGCCTCTCCCCCACTTTTTCTCCCGCCCTCCTCTCCCTTTGGGTGTACAGTGGGTCAGGGCTCACCCCTGCACTGAGATACGAGGAGAACGTTGATCGGTGCGCACCCCTGTGCAAGATCCGTGGTGAACGAGCTGACGGGGCCCCCCGTAGCTCCGATGCAAGGAATCCAAAGAATCCGCGCCTAACAAAAGTTGCGGGCTCCTGATGTGAAACTCGCTTGCTGTAGCCTCTATGAGCCTCCCGTGGAGTCCACCCATCTCAGGGGGTTGCGAAGCTTCGATCCGTCAGATCTCCGAGGGGTCCACCTTTCCATGGGATCGCGGGTCGGGGCGCACCCCTGCCACATCATCCTGTGTTAAAGACGAGTCGTGGTGCACCCCAGCCAGAAGATCCTGGGTGAAATGGCCATATCGCCCAGAGATCTGGGTCCTCCCTAAAAGGCCGCCCAAATGGGTCTTCGAAGATGGTGCCGCAGGGTCGCGCCGCATGCGGCGACGCTGGCCTGGACAAAATCGGGTTTCCATACCGAGCCGCATCGCCGATGCATCGGCGATGCGGAGCCATCCTCCGACCCCGTCTGCGAGGATCCCCACCTGGGAGGCCCAGACTCCCCATGCCAGCACCGCGTCATCTGGGGGCGCCACCACCGCCCCGTGAGCGGGTGCCAAAACGGGCGTGGCGCCCACATGCGAACGGTGCCACTGGGGCCTTCGGTGGAGCGCCCTACCCAGACATCTGACGTCTCGATCTTTTCGAGACACGGGCCCCCGACCTCCCGACCACTTCTCCGGGACCGGCTTTTCGTCCCGAGTCGTTTTTTGACGGTCCCGGGGCCTGGCGAGGGCCTCGAGAGGCCGAAGACCACGAAAAACCTCCATCTTGATTTTTACAGAACGCCCGATGTCTGGGTATGGGGCCGTCGGCTCGGACCCCACCGGGGAGGCCCGGACTGCCCCTGCCGGCACCGCGTCGTCCGGGGGCGCCACCACCGCCTCCAGTCGCCTCATCAGCCGCTCCAGCTTCGCCGGGTACCGCTCCCGGCCGTGCTCGCCCCGGCCTGCGGCGCCGGGTGCGGTCCCCCTCCTCTCGGGCGCACGCGGCGCTGGCCTGCCGGATCCGTGGGTCGGCGGAGGGCTTGGGAGAGGGGAGGAAGGAGAAGGAGGAGTGAGGAGGAGGGGGAGGAGGAGGAGGAGGAGGAGGAGGAGGAGGAGGAGGAGGAGGAGGGGGAGGAGGGGGGAGGAGGAGGAGGAGGAGGAGGAGGTGGAGGAGGAGGAGGAGGAGGAAGAGGAGGAGGAGGAGGGGGAGAGGAGGAGAAGGAGGAGGAGGAGGAGGAGGAGGAGGAGGAGGGGGAGGAGGAGGAGGAGGAGGAGGAGGAGGAGGAGGTAGGAGGAGGAGGAGGAGAGGAGGAGGGGGAGGAGGAGGAGGAGGAGGAGGAGGGGGAGGAGGCGGAGGAGGAGGAGGAGGAGAGGAGGAGGAGGAGAGGAGAGAGGGGAGGAAGAGGAGGAGGAGATGGAGGAGGAGAAGGAGGAGGAGGAGGAGGAGGAGGAGGAGGAGGAGGAGGAGGAGGGAAGTGAGTCAGAACCAAAACGTGCCATGCGTTCTCAGGAGATCTCCTTCGCCTGCTGCGACTCGCCGTCCCCTCTCATCTCTCCTCCTGTCTCTTCCTCCTGCTGCCTTTTCCTCCTGCTCCGCGGTGGCGTCCGCTACCCATGGCGCGGCAGCCGTAGGCCCAGCGGGGCGGTTGCTAGACCACGCCAGGGTGCTACCGCGGCCCGAGGGCTGGAGTCACAAGTGCGAGTCCTAAAGCGAGTCCCTCTGCCTGCCTCTGACCACTGCAAGATCGATCATACCAAAGGGGGCAGGCCTTCTCAGACGGCGGCGGGGCTTCTCAGAGGCTCTTCGGCATTCTGAGAAGCCGTCTCTCCCTTCGGAGAAGGCTTAGAAAACTTTCCACACGGCGCGAGGTTTTACGAGAAACCCTGCTGCCTTCTGAGAAGGCCTGCCCCTCTCACTTCCCCCCGGGCTCGCCGCCGAATGGATCTGGCGCGTCGGCGCCAGCTCTATGCGCTAAGTCCATGAATCGGGGAAGTTATCCACATCTCCAGCGAGATGTTTTTTTTTGGCCAGCAGGCGGATTTTTGCTCGATTTCCTCCCCAAGGGGGTTGCTTCGACTCCGAAGACGCTGTCCATAAGCACTGCGTGAGTCCCTGGAGGCAAAATGAAAAAACCCTGGGATATGGTTCCAAGAAGGCAGAGGAGACGCCGACGCCGACGAATGGATGCAGAGGGCCCCGAAGGGGCCCCAGGTAGCCCCAAGATGGGTTTCCATGGCCTCGGTTTGGAGGTCCCTGGGCTCTGTGGACGGGCGCGGAGCTGTCTGAACGGTCCATGGGACGCGTCATCGTCCTCGAAAACACACACGATCGTCTGGGCGACTCCAACGTAAGACTCATGGGCCAAAACCGCGTGAGAACAAACAACGACAAAAAACACATCACTTGCTTGCTCGCACAAAAATTGGAGAAGGTAGCCTCGCAAAGACAGAGACGCCATCGCGATCAAGCGAGCCTTCGCACTGCGACTGAAAGCGGGAGAGGAGACGACGAGGAGAATCCAGAGGAATCTTCGGGAATCGCATCGTAAAGCCACGTGAAGAAGCTTGAGAAATCGAAGGAAGCCAGAATAGTCTTGAGAAATCCAAAAAGGGCTCCTGAGGAATCCTGAAGATTGCGGAGGGACCCGCCGGAATCTGCAGGAGTCCGCAGGAGTCCACAGAGCGTCCAGGTCCCCAGGGGCGCGCTGAGGAACCCAGGGGTCCTGTTTCCGCGCACGGCAGGTTCGCGTCGTGTAGATCCCGGCGTTGGTTTCTGATACCGCAAGGATCGTTCAACCTTGAACGATCGGCCGTTTCCGAAACGTCCGAATCGTTCCACATCGAACGATTCTGGGTCGCCTGCGGCGTTCAAAATTGAACACCGCGGGCAGGGTCGCCGCCGGTCGACACGACACGAACCTACCGTAAGAGAAAAAGAAGCCCCCGGCGAGGGGCTCGAGCACAGGGGGATTACCCCTGCCTCACATTCGGGGGAGGGAATGAACTCTCAGCCGCGGGGCTGCTGCCGCCCATCTCCTCCGACGTTGCAGTCTGCTCGTGATGTCGGCCCCTGGGCCTTCGGCCTCTTCCGTGGGGCCAGATTCTCACTTCGAGCTGTTTTGCCCCTGAGGACCGACAGCTGCGACAAACAGGCCGCCGCCTCTGCCTTCGCCATGTCCGCATCTCAAGGTTTGGGAGACCCTAAGACGAGAACGACGTCATGAAACGGATTCGCTCCGGACACGTTCCAGGAGCTCTGGAATCTAGCGGCCCTCGTTTCTGCAGCCCGGGTGGAACAGTACGGCCGGACCTAGGACAGAAGAACATCCCTGAAGAGCATGAGATCCTCCGCGGGCCAAGCTGCGGAAGATTCGAGGACATCCTCCCCCAGGGTGCACAAGAGAATCCAGCAAACGCGAAGAGCATGAGGGTACCCTGAACCGACCTCGATCTTATACCTCGGCCCGACATCGTGGAGATCTAAGGAATCTTTGAACGGCGTATCATTATCATGCCCTCCTGCTCCGCTGAATGTCACCCTGACCCCCCGCGCGCGAGGAAACGCCCCGCCCCGATCGCACCCTCTGGCACCTCCCGCGGGTGCCGCTCTGAAGACGGGGTGTCTTGTGGCGCTGGCCCTCGTGGGGCGACCGACCATCTTGTCTCCAGGGTCCCCGCAAAGAGCCGCCCCCCTCGTGCCACCCCCAAGCAGGCCTCGAGAGGAGGGTCTGGAGGCAGCTCCTCGGAGGTAGCCGTCAGCACGCTCCGGCGCTGCTGGGCCCGACGACGGGGCCACGAGACTGGAGCGGTCGAGGTCGAGCCCAAGGTGAAGCCCGATTCTGCCGGCTTCACCAGGATTGCGTGACACTCGGCGGGATTCTGCCTGACAAGGCTGGTCTTCGGCCGCGGAACTGCTAGCGCCGATGCTGCACCCAACCTCCGAGGAGTTGCATCAAATGGAGTGGGTGGCAGCACGAGGGGGGGAGAGATGGGGAGGCGAGGGCACGATATGACTATGTGGGGCGTTCTGGAAGCTCTCAATCGAAAATTGCTGGCATCTCTCGAAGGTGCATCTTTTTCTACCGCCAGCTTCCGCTGGCCTTCCGTTGGCTCCTGCGGGCGGAGCCGCCTTCGTTTGACTCCCGACGCCTTCCGCTCGGGAAGAGATGTCAACTTTAGGTCGGGCATGTCCTCCCCCACAGTGGAATTTTGCACAAAAACCCAGAGCACCCCAAAACACTCAAGGCATACCCCAAAGTACTGAAAACATGGCCCGCAGAACTTTTTTTTTTGTTATAACAATACTGTTTTTTACTGTTTTTGAGTATTCCTCCTGTGCAGGGACGTGCCCGACTGAATGTCAACTTCTCGCCTCCTGGAGGGCGAGGCCCTGCCTGGAGCGCCTCACGCATGCGGCGCGCTCCTCCTGCGCGCATCCGTGCGTGTAGCCAGGATGCCGGACTGCCTACCAGACCGCCCCAGCCCAGCCCGAAGACCCGAGACTGACCCGACCTTCGGGATTGGAGGGGGGGGGGGGTGCGGGTTCCATGTGTTTTTCCGATGTCCCCCGACCCCCCTCCTGGAAGTGGAGGACAAGATTGAGGCCTTCGGGTTGGGTTGGGGTGGCCTGGTGGGGGGCGAGATACAGATTCAAAAGCTGTAGATCAACCGCAGCGCGCAACCTGGCCATGATCTTCGCACCATTGGCTCGACGACGCGAGACTGAAGACCTCTGGCCAAGCTGGGAACGTCACGCGAGACTCGTCATCAATGAACACGCAGATGGAGGAAGGGGAAACAACAGGAAGACCCAGGAGAGACCCTGGGAGTGCGGTGGATCAGTCGCATGACGGGAATCGTCAAGTCAACGATTCTCGGTGGGATTTATACCCTAAACCGGGTGGGGGCCAGAGCCAGTGGTACCACATCGCAGGACGGAGTGCGCGAAACGATTCTCATTTTGACTCAAAAGCTCCAGCAGTCCGATCGTCGAGTGGAGGGTGGATCGACGGATAGCTGAAATCAGCCTTTGAGCCCCAAGAGGAATCCAAGATGGGCTAAGAAGGCTCCAAAGGAGTGCCAAGACAAACCAAGATGGCCCTGGAAGGCTCTCGGGACGGCCGAAGAGGATTCTAAGGGGCTCACGAAAGGCTCTAAGAGAGGCTTACAGAGGTGCTTAAAGATGCCCAAGACAACAAGCGACGTCCAGCTTCGAATGCGTATAGCAATGACTTCCGTATGCTTGGCTGTGAAATCGAGTTCGCCTCCCAAAAGGCGTTATTTTGCTCCGAGATGATCCAAGAAATCCCCCTAGCAAAAATGCCCTGAGCGGCCCGGGTACGCCCCAAGTAATGCCTAAGAGAAGAGGGTCCCTGCAGGGGTCCAAGACAGACCAAGGGAGCGCCAAGACGGCCCGAGATAGCTCTCGAAGGTCGCCATAGGTCGCCCACAGACAGCTCGAGAGGGGGGCCCAACAGAACTTCAAGAGAGCGAGTAAGAGGCCCCCAAGGCGGGCCAATAGTACCCCGAGGGAGACTCCTTACAGCTGTGCGGGCATCCAAACGGTGCAGCCAGTCCCCATATTGCTCATTCGGCTCCACGAAGGTGGACAATTACCGACGAGATGCCCCAGTGTAGGCCCTCAGAGGCGCAAGGAAGACACAACCAGCCGAACACACTAGCATTCAGCAGCAAGCCGCACCGAGCAGCTGCAAACGACAGCAACACCCCCCGTTGCGTCCGAAGAAGAATGGAGTCGCCGCGAACGATGTGATTCCAAACTGCCCAGCACGGCCCAAGAGAGCGTGGATGTCGCCAAGATGCTTCGAGGAGGCTGTCGGGACGGCACAAGGGACTCCCAGAGTCTCGCGACAGGCTTCCAGAGGCGCCAGAATATATCAGAGATAACAAGCACCGTCCACATTCAAATGCCTTTGCGTATGGCTTTGGTATCTTTGGCTTTCCAGCTGAAGTCGACTTCAAACATGGGTCAGATGGCTCCGAGATAGGCCCCAAGGTCCCCCGTACAAACGCCCTAAGCGGCCCAAGTACGTCCCAAGGGGCCCCCAGGATTGCCCAAGAGGGTCCCTGTAAGGGTCCAAGATAGTCCAATGGAGCGCGAAGACGGTCCAAGATAGCTCTCGAAAGTTGCCCCCAGATAGCTCGAGAAGGCCCAGCAGATCCCCAAAGGACCTCCATGCGGCCCAATAGTGCCCCAGAGAGACTCCTTACAGTTGTGAAGTGCTCAACCGGCTCCAAGAGGGTGGACAATAACCCACGAGATGCCCCAAAGCAAGACCCTAAGAGGTTGGAGGAAATATCCAACCATCAGAACATATTAACACTCAGCAGCAAGCCACATAAAGCAGCCAAGCGACAGCAAAGCTCCTCGCTGCGTCCGAAAAAAGAACAGAGTCTCCGCCAGCAGCGTGGTTCCAAACCGTCCAGTACGACCCAAGAGAACGTAGAAGTCGGCCCGAGATGGTTCGAGGAGGGTCTCAGGACAGTCCAGAATGCGTCCGAGCGGCTCCACGGCGTCCGTTAGCCTTCAAGACGTCCCTCAGAGGCTCCAAGACAGGCTCCAAGAGAGAGAGAAAGAGAGAGACGCCAAGAGAGAGAGAGAGAGAGATAGAGAGATGCCCATTTCGTTTTTCGATGCTTCTGACTTCTCAAGCTCTTCTACTTGATATAGCTTCGGGAGCTCTTCAGAGAGCTCCAAGACGGCCAGCGATTGCCCGATTAGGACTACAAGGCGCGCCAAGGGGGCCCCAAGAACCCAAGAGTGCCTCTGGATGGGGCCCAAGACATCTCAGAGAGTTCCGCCAAGACGGCCCAAGTGGGCGCCAAAACGACCTAAGAGAGTCCTCCAATGGCGGTAATGGCCACAAGACGGCACAAGAGAGCCCAAGAGGCCCCCAAGAGCCCCAAGGACGGCCCAAAAGGGCATCAGGAAGACATGCAGATAATTCAAGAGGGCCCCACAATGCTTCAGAAGAACCCCTAACTGCCCAACTGGGCCCAGGAGGCTGGAAGAGGCCCAAGAAAGGGTCGAATATAGGCCCGAGAAGCAGCAAGCAACAGCGCGAAAACAACGCCTGCGGTATCGCTTCCCGATGCCCGAAGGACGCAACATTTTTCTCGGGGATCGCAGCCCAGGGGGGGAAGGAAGCGGAAGAGGAGGAGGCGAGCTGGGGGAGAGGGAGACTCCGAACAGAGGCGCCGGCCTCCACTCCGGATGCCGATTGGCATCCTGGGCGTGCGGCCTCCGTTCTGGAAGGCCTCGGAAGCTTCGGGGCATCTGAAGGGGGATGTTTTCTCCGGCGGCAGAAGGCCAGTACAGCGTGCCCTGGGATCGTGAGTATAAACAAGCCGGAGTACGCTGTGCAGATCTCGTGGAAAGGATCGCCTGGCGGATCCGTCAGCTCGACTTAAAGAATAGTAGCGTCAAATCACCTGTACATTTTGCGCGAGAGCGTTCATGGCGGTGCGAAGGATACGGAGGATGATGCGAAGGACGATGATGATAATGGTGGTGATAATGAGGATTACGAGGAAGATGGGGATGAAACATAACAACACATCTAGAAGAGCGCATGCTCAGAGGGAGCTGGAGCCGTGCTCCGCGTCATGCTCCCAGCGTGCGCCATCCAGCATGCTAGCAATCTGTCGCCTGCGCCGAAGATGTCGCTGAAGAAAGGTGTCTCCTGCGGGAAAACTGCACGACGCCATTGCTGTCATGATGCTCAGCTGGATGCCCCCTGGCGTTCCCCTCGGAGGTATCTGTGTTCAGCCGATCCAAGGACTCTGCATGCGCCGACTCCATGCTGTCGAGGGCGTGCATGCTCGCTGGATGCTGGCGGGCGCCCTCCGCGGGATGAAGACTGCCCCCGCCGTCCTGTCTGCTGGCAGACCTCGCCTGCGCGGACGAGCGGTCGCTCTGCTGGGACGCCATGCTGGGGCGCTTGTCCGCTGGATCTCCAGCGACGCCTCCTCCAGGGAGGACACTTTCCGCAACGTCCTGCCTTCTGGCAGTCCGTGATTGCACCGACGAGCGGTGGCTCTGGTGCGATGCCACGTTTTCGGAAGGGCGCAATCCCACTGGATGTTCGGCGGTGCCCCCTTCGGGGAGGATGCTGTCCGCGGCGCCCGGCTTCCTGGCAGACCTCGCCTTCGTCGACGAGCGGTGACTCTTGTGGGACGCCACGCTGTCACGCTTCTCTGCTGGATGCTCGGGGGTCTTCTCCTCTGGGAGGAAGCTGTCCGTGGCGCCTGCCTCTCTGGCAGGCCTTCCCTGCGTGGAGGAGCGGTGGCTTTGGCGGGACGCCAGGCTGGGGCGCTTGCCCGCTGGATCTTCGGCGGCACCCCCTTCGGGCAGAGAGCTGCCGGCACCGTCCAACCTCCTGGCAGCCCGCGACTGCGCTGTGTGGGGCCTCGACTGCGCCGACGAGCGGCTGCTCAGGCGGGACGCCACGCTGGAGCGCTTCCCCGCTGGATCCTCGGCGGCGTCCCCTTCGCGATGAATGACGTCCGCGCTGTCTGGTCCGCGGGCAGGCTTCGACTGCGCCGCCAACGAGCGGTGGCTCTGGTAGGACGCCAGGCTTGAACGCTCGTCCACTGGGTCCCCGGCGCGGCCCGTCTCGGGGAGGAAGCTGTCCGCACCGTCCGGCCTGCGAGCCGGGCTTTTTGTCGTGACCCCCCGGAAGGTTAGCTTCGCCCTTTCTGCGCAAAACCAATGCTACCACAATGACTTTTGTGCCATGCCTTCCATTTTGCCTTCTGAGCGTTTTCTTTTTCGGCGTGTCGACGTTGGGCGGAAAAAAGGGGGGGAGGGGGTGGTCTGGCTCCAGTCCTCTGCTTAACGCGACTGTCTGCAACAGTGCCTCCTATGGGGGAGACCCCACCTACTTGAAAAAGGCGCCCAAAACAGCCAGATCTACTCCATAGGGGGGGGAGGGGGGGGGCGAGGGCCCGCGCCGATCGGCAACGCAATGAATAAGAAAACGATCACCTGGAAGGACGCTTGCTTGCCGCCCCGTCGGGGCAGGGAGGTGTGTGTGGGGGAAAATGCCTCGAGTGGAACACAGCCTCCCGCGGGGAGGGCCTCGCCACGGCCTCCCAGGGTTAGGGGTAGGGTCCAGGTTATGCGTGGGTTCTGGCTCTCGTGATCCAGGGTCGGATACGGTTCGCCCTCCTCGTCGTCGTCGTCGTTGTCCTCCTCCTCCTCCTCCTCCTCCTCCTCCTCCTCCTCCTCCTCCCCTGCTCCTCCTTGGTCCTCCTCCTTGGCCCTCTTCCTTCTGTCCTCCTCCTCCTCCTCCTCTTCCTCCTGCTTCTCCTCTCGTGAACCCGCCCGCCATCGTCGCTTACCATACTGACTACCATTCTACGGTCATGAGCTTTTGCTCAGCGTGTCGCAGCGGAGGCCCTGACGACACGCCATTCCTTGCAAGCGGATAGCTTGCCGCTCCGCTTCGCGGCTCGGGAGGCTGGGGACAGCTAGGAACGCTGATGTTTGGGGACTAAGACGTGGCTAGAGTGTCGCGACGAAATGTGGTGGGTCAGAGCCAGCGGCGCGACACGTTAAGCAAGCGCTGTTGACCATGTCCTCATGATGATCTGCATCGTCCGGGCCGACCCCACAAGCCTCTGGAAGAAACACAGGGCCCCCTGTGAGAAGTCACGGGCCGCCTGGGAGAAGCAGAAAGGCCTCGAGGCGATGCTGCCGGTTTTCTGGGAGGCTCAGAGAACGAACCATGACAACCAATTCAAGCATGAATGGTAGATGTAGCGTGCATTTCCTCCAGCCCCGTCCCGAAAAACTGCGCAGGATCGAGCGCCTCGAGTCCAATGCAGTGGCAGGGCCGAGCTGCAAGCCCGACGGGACACTCAACGTCCCTGATGCCACAAGACCAAGCCAATCCCAAATTTCTGAGCTTAGCTGCCCACATACGCAACACGCAACACGTAGCGTGTTGACACTTAGCTCAACACGTAGACTGAAAACGTAGGTCTGACGCGATGCATTCGCCAAAACGTGGGCCAACACGTTGACCCAACACGCGACGTATCGACACGGACGTTGCGAGAACGGCACGTGCTGCGTATCAAAACGGGCGTATCGAGGCAGCCAAATTTCTGAGACGCCCGCCCTCCAGCCTGCTGTCAAACCCTGCCCGCGCCAACGAACGTTGGCTCTGGCGGGACTCCGTGCTTGCGGAGGGGCGCACGTCCGCTGGATGCTCCGGGTCGCCCTCGGTGTGGGCCGGATCCTCAGCGATGTCGCAGTCCCCCTCGGGGATGAAGCTGTCCGCGCAGCCCAGCCTGCGAGCAGGGTCTTCCTCCCAAACCCACCCTGGGAATTGGCCCTCGGCTTCGTCTGGCTCCTCCTCCTCCTTGCTTCTGGCCTGTCCTGCTGCTCCGCCGCTCTTTCCTCTTCCCCTCCCCTACCGCCTCTCTTCCTCTGTTTTGTCCGCCCCCGCCCCGCCAAGAATCCCTCGGGCTTACCAAACTCCTCTCCTGCGGGGCGCGCAGGTTTAACCGTAACAGCGGGTACCTTTGCCGCTTGCCCCATATATAGACCCAACACGGCGGTAACGAGTCCGCGTGTCCCGAGCAGGCCAATGCTTTTCAATAGCTACCAGAAACGACTCGAACTAAAATAGACGAATCAACAAAACGGTAACGACAAGGAAACAAGCGACCATGCAAGTACACATGAAACACACAAACACACGCACAAATTTTACTGCACGGGCGCGTGAACAAAAACACGCATTAGCGTGAGCAAGCAAGCAGTCATGAAAGCAGTCGCGCAACACATCACGCAAGCGAGGAAGTACGCAAGCAAACAATGCTGCTAGCAACCACGTAAACAAACAAAACAGGTGCACTTAATCACTGATTCACGCAAACAATGAGTCAAGCAGGTGCGTATGCACGCAAGGAAACAAAAGCGCAACCACTCGCGCAAACAATCCTTCAAGCAAGCACGCACGGAAACAAATATCGATGCGGATTCGAATGCGAAGGGGGGTCCATGCGGATCCCCAACGCGAACTCAAAAAAGACACCGCCGTTCGAAGCCGTCATACGCACCGACCGGGACACTTACCTGGGGGCATCCACTATGTGCCGATTCTGTATGTGAGTTCGTGCAATCATACGGCGGCGTACCTGGAACAACCAAACATGTGAAACTAATGATACGCACATTGAGCGCACACTGAGCACACAATGAATGTCAAAACATGTTTGGTCGCAGCTGCGCAAGTAAAGTGCTATCCAATGGTGCACCCAACCTATGATTGTTTCCTTTAGTTTCTCGTTCGCGGTCGTTTTCGCAAATCATTGTGAATGTTCGTTCGCTGTATGGTTCACTGTGCCAGCGCCACGCTGGAGCGCGGAAGCCAGTCAAACCCTCTGCATACTTGCACTGGGTGGTTGAGTCCTGGGAGATACTGGGCGACTCTGGTGCCCCCAAAACACCAAGAGGGGGGAGGGGAAACGCCTCAGGGGGCAGACAAAAACAACGAGCGCGAACAGAAGAGCCTTGAAGGATAAACAACACCACTTGCTCAAGTTCAAGACGTTGAGTGCACAAGTAGCGTACCCACTAACAGACCCAAAGGTCGATAAGAGGGTTCGGGGTGGGAGTGTGCGTCTCATTCGACGCGCAATTGATTCGCATCATACTGAACTCGATTGCCGCGATCATGTTGGTTCTGCATGCGGGCTCGCTTGCTTGTTTGCTTGCGTGGCATGCTTCCCTATCTGATTGCGTGCTTGCTTGGCTGCATGACTTGCTTGCTTGCATGCATGACTGCTTGCTTGCTTGCTTGCTTGCTTGCTTGCGCGCCATGCTTGGTTTGCGTACCTACTCATTTTGCCTGCCTGCGTACTTGCTTGTTTGCCTGCGTGATTGCCGGCCGGGCTTGTTCTAGTGCGTGCTTGCTGGTGTGCGTGCTTGCTTGCATGGGTATGTGGCCTGCCTGCTTGGTGTGCTTGCCTGCTTTGCGTGCTTGCCAGCCTGTTTGACTGATTGACTCCTTGCGTTCGCTGCATGGCTGCGTGATTGTGTGCTTCCCTGGCTGCTTACCCGCGTGCCTGCTTGCCTGCATCTAGACATCGCGCGCATAGATGCCACCAGCGCAGAAGACTGAGCACTTGGCACCACATCCATTTGGAATCACCGCCAACGGATATTTTACTCACGCTAGATTCGCGATTGATGCTCATCTTGTCCATCACTTCAGGCGTACAGCGATTAAGGCACCAGCGCAACAAGTGACGACTTCATCGCAAAGCAATCGGGATCCCACCGCAAACGACTTGTAACTGGCACAATCGGACTTTCATACATCTGTCGAACATCAATCGGGATACCGTCGCGTTTCAATCGGGACACCACCGCAATTCGATCAACGACAAATCGGGATACAAGCGAACAGCAGCCCAGATACATCGAAAACAAATAGCACATCCACTAGCACAACATCGACAATCAGCAAGGACGCGATCGCAAATCAACCGGGCTCCGATCGCAAAACGACTGCAGATCCTCGACCCTGTGACAAACTGATCAGGACACCGTCCTGGATCAATCGGGGCACCACTGCAGATCAGTCAGGAGATCTTCGTGAGACCATCGTGAGTCCAGCACAACAATGTCCCGATTGACCTGCGGTGGCGTTCAGATTTACCTCCGATGGCGTCCCGCTTGATTCTCGATGGCGCCAAATGATTCCTGGCCGACTCGCGCTGCAAGGACGACAGCACTGCGCGACGACACCGCAGCATGGCTCCCATCAGGGCCACCGCTCCCTCCCGCGGCTCTGCACGCACGCGACGTCTGACACCAGACGCGAAACTACGATCTCCCAACGGGGGCGGCCTACACCACTCTTTCTGCTGCCCCCTGCCTCTAAGATTTCAGTCGCGCCTCGAGAACAAGCAGCCTCACAAGCTTCAACGGCACACGTAAGCACCCTCGAGGGATTCACAACAAGGATCAAATCAAAACAGCAAACGTACATCAAGGCAAAGCCAGTGTCTGACGCCACAGGAGAGCAAACCTAAGCTTCAAATCCGCCCTCCAGCCTGCTGGGTCTGCACGTCGGCGGCGCTGGTTGCACTTCCGAGTGTCGCGGCACCAGCGGCGCCGCGACCGCAATCGTGACGTCTGGCTGAGTAAGAGACCGGCAGAGGACAGGTTGCGTGAGAGGCGACGGTGGCTTTGCGGCCACGCCTGGAGGCGCCGACGAACGGCGGCTCTGGTGGCTGGCATCAGAGGGGTGCGCTTCCACTTGGCTGGACACCATGCTCTCGGTGGAGCGCACGTCTCCTGAATGCTCGGGCTGCTCGAGGTCGGCGGCCTGCTCCGCAGGTGTCTCCTCGAGCTGTGGCGCTGCCGAATAGGCCAACGGAGGTGCGGCCTGGACGAACACGGCCTCGGCGGGCGCGACCACTGGTTGAGGGGCGGCCGAGTAACTGACCGGGCACTCCAAGGGCTGCGCGTACATGACAGGCGGCGGCGGCTGTGCGGCAACAATGGGGGAAGCCGCATTGTCCGCGGGGGTGCTGCCCGACGATGGGAGGCTCTGGCGGGACGCCACGCTGTGGCGCTTATCTGCTGGTGGCTCTGGTGGTTCTAGAACCTGTTGGTGTGGGTCTGGCGGAGGCTGGTAGCTCAGGTGAGACGCCACGCTGCCGCGCTTATTCACTGGTGGCGCTGGTGGCTCTCGTGGCTGTTGGTCTGGATCTGGCGGCTGCTGGAGGCCCTCCGACTGCTCCGCACCCTCCGTCACCACCTGCGCCACGGCAGCCAGCTGCCGCGCGCCGCCGCCGCCGCTGATGCGCTGATTTGCTGGTGGCTCTGGTGGCTCTAGTGGCTGTTGGTCTGGGTCTGGTGGCAGCTGGTCGCTCGGGCGGGTCATCACACTGCCGCGCTTACCTGCCAGTGGCTCTGGTGGCTGCTGGTCGCTCTGGTGGGACGAAGCGCTGTCGCGGTTACCCGTCGGAGGCTCTGGTGGCTCCGGATCGCTGTGGTAAGAGGCTATGCTGACGCGCTTCTTAACTGCCCGTGGCTCTGGTGGCCCTGGTGGCTGCTGGTCGCCTTGATAGGACACCACGCTGCCGCGCGTACCTGCTGGTGGCTCCGGCGGCCCTGGTGGCTGCTGGTCGCCCTGGTAGGACATCGCGCTGCCGCGCTTACCTGCTGGTGGCTCTGGCGGCCCAGGAAGCTGCTGGTCGCTCTGGTAAGACATCACGCTGCCGCGCTTCCCTGCAGGTGGCTCTGGTGGCCATGGTGGCTGTTGGTCGCCCTGGGAAGACATCACACTGCCGCGCTTACCTGCTGGTGGCTCTGGCGGCCATGGTGGCTGCTGGTCGCTCTGGTAAGACATCACGCTGCCGCGCTTCCCTACAGGTGGCTCTGGTGGCCCTGGTGGATGTGTGTCGCTCTGGGAAGACACCATGCTGCCGCTCGTACCTGCAGGTGGCTCTGGTGGCCCTGGTGCGGCGTCTGCACGCTCCTGCTGCCATCCAGGGCCCTCGTCGGGCTGCGCCTGGTAGGTGATCTGCTGCCCCAGGCTCTGCAGGAGTGCCGCCTCGGGCTGTGGCGCTGCCGAGTAGGCCAACGGAAGTGCGGCCTGGACGAACACGGCCTCGGCGGGCGCGGCCGCTGGCTGAGGGGCGGCCGAGAAACTGACCGGGCACTCCACGGGCTGCGCGTACATGACAGGCGGTGGCGCCACCGCTGCTGCAGCTGGAGCAGCGCCCCGTTCCATGGGCGCATGGGCGGGCGGAACACGGTGGCTCTCGTGAGACGACGAGCTGCCAGAGGAGGCCCCCTCGGGGTAGGAGTCGTCCCTGCTGGGCCCTCTGCTTGGAGACCCTGCCTGCGCCGACGAGTGAAAGCTCTGATCAAGACCGCTCTCGTCCAGAAAGAAGCCTAGATCCCTGGATCCGCAGCCTCTGCCCGTGGGCGCCGGGGGCACCGTGGCGACACTCTCGTAGGAGAGCACGCTGACGCCCGACCCTTGCCACTGCTGCTGGCTCCCAGCTGCGGAGGGCGGCACCGGAGGGACGAGGTGCCGCGCAGCGCCGGCGCCCTCGCCAGGATGCCGGTGTGGCTGGCTGGTCCCCGCGTCGGCGAGGGGGCGCTGCGAGGGGCGCTGCGACAGATGACGGCGGCGCGAGACGGCAAAGGGCCTTCCATCTGGTCCAGTCTCGGGGGTCAGGTCCGACCTGCCGTGGTCTTCCAGCTCCTCCCTCACGCTATCCATCGACAGGGCATGTTCGCCTGGCGAGCGCCTTGGTCGGTTGCGCATCGGAGATTCGGGCCGACCAGCCAGAGCGGCAGCAGCACCACGGTCCAACGCATAGTCGTTCGGCGGGATCTGGGGCACGATCGGCGTGCAACCTGGGCTGCGGTTTGCCTGGGGATGCGGCGTACGGAACCCTATTTGCCGCCAAGCGCTCTTGGCTGTGAACTCGTAACAGCCATTGAAGGTCTTCGTGTGCACTGTGAGGGCTGGCACCATGTACGCGAGCCCACAAAGGAACACCTTCACTCCCTGCTCCCTTGTGCCAGAGCAAGAGAGCAACACCGCCCCCAACGCGAGGTCCCGCAGGCCCCTGCAGTAGAAGTACCCGAGCGTCTGCATGAACAGCGTCAGCGTGGGACCCAAGACGCCGTCCGTGACATATGGCATCTTCATCGCCCACCGCCCCCATGCAGCCACGTGAAGGCAGAAACCCACGATGGAGATAACAGAAAGAGGCAGGAACCAACGCACAGACGGGAATACGAAACTTCTCCTCGCTGGCAATCCGCCCACCCTTTTCGCTGCCTTGAGCGGATTCGTCGCCCAAGCGAAGTCGTGAACGCCAATGCCGAGCAACGATAAGCAGAGGGCCAACGACAACAAAGTCGTCCACCTGGGCCGACATGCGGCAGGGACCAAGTTGGGACAGCCAAGAAGACCAAAGGTCAGCGGCAGTATGGGCAGGCAGAACAGGTATGACATCATGACGCAGGGCAAGAACAGGGCCGCGACCAGCAAGAACGTGGCCCTGCGGATGCCAGGCCGATTGTCGAAGAGCTCATCGAGGTCGACCTCGTCCGTCGGGAAGGAAACCCAGAGCATCACGCCGCTGACCACAAGGAAGTTGCCCAACGCGGCGAGGAGCACAGCGACGTCGGGGGACAGGTAGTGCATGGGTATGTGGACCAGCCCCATGAATGCCCCGATCGAGGTGAGCAGGGCGCCCAGCGAGGCGACGCACTGCGCCTGGCAGTGGCGCAGCCAACAATATATTCCCTTCTCCTCGACCGTCTCCCCGTAGCAGGACAACCGGTCCGCTCTCTTGGCGGGATCGCTCTCCAGCAGGTTCAGGAAGTCCAGCGAGAAGGCAACCTCTGACATCATGCTGGTTCTGCTGGAGAACGACCACCTCCTCATCTTGCCTGGGCTCCTGCCCCGCACGCTCGACGTCTCGGACGGTGCCGGCACGGCGCGCGTCGGCAATGCCAAGTGGCCGTTTGAGTCCGACGACCCGCCTCTTCCCAGTACCGGCTGCCCAAAAGGGCCAGACACGATGCTCGACCTGGCCGAAGTGAAACGCTCGGGCGTGTTCGGGCTCATGGTGGTCATGGTGTCCGCGCTGAGCACGCTGCTCCTCCTCCTCTCCCGCACGAAAGTGGGCAGCCAGCCCTTGTGGACCTCGCTCATGTCGGAGGTGCACACGGTGCTGAGCACCTTGAAGCACTTGACCTCGCCCTTGGGCAGCTTGGTGCGCTTCTCGGGCGCTGGCACCTCGGGCATCGTCTCCTCAGTCCTGCGGGTGCTGGTGGTGACGACGTGGGCGTAGGAAGCCTCAGGCTCCACGTTGCGGCTGCGCCCCTGCCCAGGAGGCCGCTCGTTGGCGACCTCCGCGACCACGTTGAAGAAATTGACGCGGTCCCTTGCGGCCTGGCCGTCTTCGTCATCCTCCAGAAGAAACAAAACGCCACAAACATAAACTTCTGGCGCTCCGCGCGGATCCCTTGGATCTGCGCTAAGCCCCCCTCCCTGGCGCACGGAGCGCGCCAGGGGTGACGCCGGAGGCGCCGCCGAGGTGGCCCAGCGCAGGTCCAAGAAATCCGCGCGGAGCGTCAAAAGTTTATGTTTATGTTAGGTCGGGCCGGGGATTTTGGACGAGAAGTTAATAATAGTCAGAGACTATTCTGAAAAGGCTCAGAAATCCGCCAACCCTGTCGGCGTGTGGAAGACGCATCCTGGTGTCGTCGTCTTGCGTGGATCACCGTCGTCGTCGTCGTCGTCGTCGTCGTCGTCGTCGTCGTCGTCGTCGTCCGAAATAAAAGGACATCGAACACGAAACAGAAGGAAATCGTAGTCGTGGCGAAGTCCCTCCCTACCCTCCCCACCAGGGGGGGGTGGGGGGTGGGGGTGGGGGGTGGGGGGTGGGGTGGGGTGGGGGGGGGGGGGGGCAGATACGCATCCCCCTGGGCGACTTTCTCCCTCCCTCCCCCTCCCTCTCCCCCTCCCCCTCCCCCTCCCTCTCCTCCTCCTCCTCCTGCTCCTCCTCCTCCTCTGCCTCCTTCCTCCTCCTCTCCTCCTCTCCTCCTCCTCCCTCCTCCTCCTCTCCTCCTCCCCCCCCTCCCCCCTCCCCCTTCTCCTTCTCCTTCTCCTCCTCCTCTCCTCCTCCTCCCCTCCTCCTCGTTCCCCTCCCCTCCCCCTCCTCCTCCTCCTCCTCCTCCTCCTCCTCCTCCTCCTCCTCCTCCTCCTCCTCCTCCTCCTTCCTCCTCCTCCTCCTCCGCCTCCTCCTCCGCCACGTCTTCATTTACCTCCGACGTCTTGTCACGCATCCCGTCACCCTCGAGGGCCGAGGTATCCAGGGTCGGCGGCACTGGCCGTAAGGCCTTAGCAATAGTCAAAAATCGTTTCCGACTTATTTTTCTACTATCTTTGAATATTCCTCCTGTAGAGGGACAAGCCCGACTTAATGTTTATGGCGTTTTTTCTTCTCCGATCCTCGAGGACCTCCTCACGCTCGGCGCCCCTGATGCCGTAACTCGCCAGGCGCTGGGCGAGGCGCCGGGCGAAGCTGGGCTCGCCCCCGTCCGAGCCGGTGCGGCCCCTGCGCCTGCGGAGGATCGCTCCAAAGGGGGTTTTCCTAACCATCCTGTGGTGTTGGGTCCTCGTTTTGAAGAGACGGTCCCCGAGTTCTCCCCTCCTCCTCTGCCCCCTCCTCCTCTCCACCGTCCGCATGCGTCCCGTACACTCAGGACAGCGTTTCGTGGCCCTCCTTCCCTCTCCACCCAGTGCAGCGTTTCGTGGCCCCACAGGGAACCCCACCGAAAGTCCCAATGCTCCCGTCCGCATGCGTCCCGCACACCCAGTACAGCGTTTCGTGGCCCCATAGGGAGCTCCACCGAAGGTCCCAGCGCCACCGTCCGCATGCGTCCCGCACACCCAGTACAGCGTTTCGTGGCCCTCCTCCCCCTCCTCCCTGCGTTTCACCCACCCAGTACGGCGTTTCGTGGCCCCATAGGGACTCCCACCAAAGGTCCCAGTGCTACCGTCCGCATGCGTTCCGCACACCCGGTAGAGCGTTTCGTGGCCCCATAGGGAGCTCCACCGAAGGACCCACTGCTACCGTCCGCATGCGTCCCGCACACCGAGTACAGTGTTTCGTGGCCCTCCTCCCCCTCCTCCTGCGTTTCACCCACTCAGTACAACGTTTCGTGACCCCATAGGGAGCCCCACCGAAGGTCCCAGTGCTACCGTCCGCATGCGTCCCGCTCACCCAGTACAGCGCTTCGCGGCCGCATAGGGAGCTCCACCGCAGGTCCCAGTGCTACGGTCCGCATGCGTCCCGCACACCCAGTACAGCTTTTCGTGGCCCTCCTCCCCCTCCTCCCTGCGTTTCACCCACCCAGTACAACGTTTCGTTGCCCCATAGGGAGCCCCACCGAAGGTCCCAGTGCTACCGTCCGCATGCGTCCCGCACACCCAGTACAGCGTTTCGCGGCCGCATAGGGAACTCCACCGAAGGTCCCAGTGCTACCGTCCGCATGCGTCCCGCACACCCAATACAGCGTTTCGTGGCCCTCCTTCCCCTCCTCCCTGCGTTTCACCCACCCAGTACAGCGTTTCGTGGCCCCATAGGGAGCCCCACCGAAGGTCCCAGTGCTACCGTCCGCATGCGTCCTGCACACCCAGTGGGAGCTCCACCGAAGGTCCCAGTGCTACCGTCCGCATGCGTCCCGTACACCCAGTACAGCGTTTCGTGGCCCTCCTCCCCCTCCTTCCTGCGTTTCACCTACACAGTACAACGTTTCGTGGCCCTATAGGGAGCCCCACCGAAGGTCCCAGTGCTACCGTCCGCATGCGTCCCGCACACCCGGTACAGCATTTCGTGGCCCCATAGGGAGCTCCACCGAAGGTCCCAGCGCTACCGTCCGCATGCGTCCCGCACACCCAATACAGCGTTTCGTGGCCCTCCTCCCCCTCCTCCCTGCGTTTCACCCACCCAGTACAGCGTTTCGTGGCCCCATAGGGAGCGCATGGGAGCTCCACCGAAGGTCCCAGTGCTACGGTCCGCATGCGTCCCGCACGCCCAGTACAGCGCTTCGTGGCCCCATAGGGGGCCCCACCGAAGATCCCAGCGTTACCGTCCGCATGCGTCCCGCACACCCAGTACAGCGTTTCGTGGCCCCATAGGGGGCTCCACCCTAGGCCCCGGTGCCACCGTCTGTGTGCGTCCGGGAAATGTAATTTGGCATTTTCACCCGCGCAGTGCAGCGTTTCGTGGTCCCATACAGTGCAGCGCTTCGTGGCCCCATAGGGAGCTTCACCGAAGCATATGGTTGGGACCTTCGCCAGGATCATTTGGGGAGCAGGTTTCTGGGGAGGGGGCTTTCCAGGATGGGGCCCCCCAGGGGCTTCGCACCCCCTGCTCTGACGAGGCTCCGAGGCCCCTGGGGGGCTCTCTGGAAAACCCCCTCCCCCAAAACCCTAGGATGAGGATGAGGAGGAGGAGGAGGAGGAGGAGGAGGAGGAGGAGGAGGAGGAGGAGGAGGAGGAGGAGGAGGAGGACGGGGAGGATTGGAGGACTGGGGGGCTCTCTGGAAAATCCCCTCCCCCAAAAACCCTCTTTGGGGCCCTCCGGCGCTCGGCGCCGGCTCGAGAGGCCAGACCGGGTCGGGCCGCACGGGCGGAGGCGGAGTCGGATCGGAGCGGCCGCGCTCGGGTGCGCGGCGGCGCCCGTGCGAGCTTCAGGCCGCGTGGGAGTTCTTTTTTGGGCAAAACGAAAACGCGGCACAAACGTCAAGTAAATCCGCGCGGAGCGCCAACAATTTATGCTCATGGCGCTTTTTCTTCGATATCAGGCCGCATGAGAATCGTCGGAGTTTTGGGAACGGTTTTTTTCTGCTGGCTGGGATCGGCATCGAATCGGATCGGTCGGATCGAACCGGGCTCTACGTGGTGCGTTATGACCAGAATGCCGCCCTCTTGGGCCGCCTTGGGGCCCTCTTGGAGGCCTCTTCGGCTACCTTGGGGCGGCCTTGGGAGCTTCTTGAGCCGTCTTGGAGCGTCGGAATGCTGAACATTTTTGATCTGCGGGGCGAGAGCGAACCTCTTCCGCTAAAAGCTAGGCGGGCTACGCACAGCTTAGGAATGCCGAAAATGCGAGGCCGAACTCCTTCAGACAAACCTTCTGTAACATCGACGCTTTGGGCCTCTCTGGGAGGCGTGGCGGCGCGAGGCCCCCCTTGGGCCGTGCGAAAGGGCTCCCAGAGTGCAGCGGCACACAACTCCGGCGGGCGAGACCTCGAGGCCTCGATCCCTTGGCGGCGAGGAGCAGGAGAGGAGGAGAGGCAGGCCAGACACGATCTCGCCATGCCGGACACAGCCTGCCCCTCTCCCGCCCATGCCTTCCCATGGGGCCGGCTTTTGCTCTGTTCGCCGACGGGCCTGGAAGCTCCACAGTAACACAATCGTGATTTGCGTAATCCGATAAGGGGGAGCTGTGTACATTGGACGAGGTGGCGGATGAGTGGGAGAATGAGCAGGAGGAGAAGGAGGAGGAGGGAGGAGGACGAGGAGGAACGGCAGCAGCACGAGCAGGAGTGGAAGGAGCAGGAAAGTGGAAAGCGGACGAGGAGAAAGGAGCAGGGAGACAATGACGAGTGAGGACTTGGAACCAGAAAAGTGGCCCGCGCTGGGGCGATGCCAAGAGGCCCGCGCTGCAGCGGGAACGCCAATTTGAAACATCGACAGCATCCCGATAGTAAAAAGCCATACCCTATCACCTTTGGAGAGCCCTGTGTATAAAGGATCTACACGCGGAGGGAGGCGCGCTGATCTGAATACACGTCCTCGGGCAGAGAGGAGGGTAGTATTCACATTGAGCAATTGTTGACACGGGCAAGGGGACAAGCTAGGTGCGCTCGCGTCATACCTGACGTCCTACCCCTCCCTCCCATTCCTTACCATTGCGTCGAGCCCCTCTCTATTCGCATCGTCGGATATCGAAGGAGACATGGATCCCGAAAGGATAAACGCCGCGCAGCAGAGCATGACATAGCATGGCGTGGGAGAGCGCGGCAAAGCGTAACATGGTGCAGCATGGTGTGGCATTGCCTAGAACCAGGGCGGGAGACGTGAGCCAAAGCTGATCCAATAGTGCTGCCAGCGCTGCAGCGATAGCGCCATTCCATCGGACGGAGGCTCCCTGGCAACCGCCAAATCCCACCAGCCCGTGAGGGCGTATGTGGTCTAGAGAGATTTCTCTTCCAACCCTCTTCTGCCCCTTCGGGGAGGGGTTTATCACTGCTCCCTATAAATATACACCCCCTCCCCAAGGCGACCAGGAACCAACGAGGAAGAATGAGGACCCCATGAGGCCCCCCCCACCATCCCTGTCAACAACAATACAAAATACACTTCATGACAAAGCCTGGAGTCATGTTCGTGAGGCCCGCGAACACTTTGTATTGTTCCCAACAATGCTGTGGTGTTGGGTCCTCGTTTTGAAGAGACGGTCCCCGCGTCTCTTCCTTCCTTCCTTCCTTCCTTCCTTCCTTCCTCCTCCCTCCTCCCTCCCCCTGCGTTTCACCCACCTGATACAGCGTTTCGTGGCCCCACAGGGAGCTCGCAAGTGGTTGGGTTCTTCGCCAGGATATATACATACATATGTATGTATAGATTGAAAGCAACCATCCTGTGGTGTTGGGTCTTCGTTTGGAAGAAACGGTCTCTGCGTTCCCTCCTTCTCTCCTCCTCACCTCCTCCCTGCGCCGCCCGCGTGCAACGCGCGCGCCCATTTCGGCGCGCCCCTCACGCGTCTCGTGGGCCCATAGGGAGCTCTATCGAAGGCCCCAGCGCCACCGCCAGCATGCGTCGCGCACCCCCATTTCGGCACGCTCCTCACGCGTTTCGCGGTCCTACAAGGGTTTCCGCCGAAAGCCGCAGTATTACTGCCCACATGCGTCGCGCACGCCCATTTCGGCACGCCCTTCACACGTTTCGCGGTCCCACGGTGAGCTCCACCGAAGGTCCCAACGCCACGGCCCGCATGCGTCACGCAAACCCAGTTCGGCACGCCCCTCACACGTTTCGTGGCCCCATATGGAGCTCCACCGAGGGCCTCAGTGCCACCGCCCGCATGCGTCACGCACGCACCTTCCGTCGCACCCCCCACACGTTTCGTGGCCCCATAGGGAGCTCCTCCGAAGGCAGCAGCGCTACCGCTTGCATGCGCCGCGCACGCCCATGTCGGCTCACCTCTCACACGTTTCGTGGCCCCACATGGAGCTCCACGTGCCACCGCCCGCATGCGTCACGCACGCACATTCCGTCGCACCCCCCACACGTTTCGTGGCCCCATAGGGAGCTCCTCCGAAGGCACCGGCGCTACCGCCCGCATGCGTCGCGCACGCCCGTTTCGGCACACTCCTCACACGATTCGTTGCTCCATCAGAAGGCTCCACAAAAGGTCCCCATGCCGCCGCCCGCATGCGTCGCGAACGCACGTTTCGGCACACCCACCACGCGCTTCGTGGCGCCATATGGAGCTCCACCGAAGGCCACAACGCCTCCGCCCGGATGCGTCATGCAGACCGATATCGGCACACCCGT